AGGTTGTGATGACAAATACCACCATTAATGCAGACTTGTTTTTTAACATGCCGTTGCGACAGAATGCTGATTCACTACTACTTAAGATACGTAAAAAAAGCATAACCCATTGTATTTGAAAAAAAAAATTCTGTTGGTCAATAGACTTTGATTTACCTGATGCTTTTCAGTAGCCTGTATGTTGGCCATCACTGGAGGGTACACCACCAATCATTTTATGTTTCCATTCTAGGCAATAAGACATCACACTCTCAGGAAGATAGACTGTGTAGAAAAAGAAAGATACCACATTATCAATACAATGCTGTTGTGGGGGAGCTCGACAAACTCCCGTCCTCTCTACTCCATGATATTATCCAATTAGAAAAGGAATTAGCAACAGAATTGCTGACACACACCACCCTTCCTGTGTAGACGATTACTGAATAAAACTTCTGATGACATGGTGCGGAAAAACAAAAGTTTATGGTCAAGGATAGATGCTATGTCTGGATAGCACTGAAGAAGTAAGTAAAGTAAGAAGCAAGCTCTTGAGGTACATGAGGAGCCTATTGGCCGCATGCATATATGATATATATATAACATATAATATATATATATATATATATAGGAGCTACTCTATTCTGAAGAGAAGATTGTACCAAGTTTCAAGCTCAGCAGGCTGCAACACAAACAACACACCGACGTATTCTGCGATGGCAAACAGGGTCTTTGGATGACTCCACCTCTGAAGAGAAGAACTTCGAGAGCACCTTCTTCACAGATTTAGAGAATAGGCACAGGTGCGGAACAGACAGGCACAGGCTGCATTTGAGCAGTCTTGCATACTCTGAGCCCCAAAACATCTTAGCACCACTTTGGGGTGAGAACAGAGCACAACATTGTACCCCAAAACAGCACAGGTGTTATGATACAATCTTCTCTGGTTCAGCATTTCTACATACTTTTCTTTTATTCCCCACACATTCAGTCATTATAGGTCAGAGTCCATCCTCTTGTGTACACTCGTGAGACCAAGCTCTTACACAATGCAATCTGACAAAGGTCACAGGAGAGACATAAACTCTAACAGTAAAGAGGTAAACAGAACACGGCCACACAAAATACTTCTTGATGTAAATGATGTAAAGTCTGTAATACAATAAGTTGATGCATAGGTGTTCGCTGTTTCAGCACTGCTGAAGCTAGCCACAAGCCAGCATCCCTCCTTGTCTGAAGTCAGCCACCATCATCCCTGTTCCAAAGAAGCCATCAACAGTCTCAATGACCACAGAACAACTGCACTAACATCAGCAGCCATAAAATGTTTTGAAAGACTAATCTCATATCACATCAAAGCAGCCTCCCTCCAAATTTCAACCTGTGAAATCGTTTTGGGTAAAACCACAATTTTGTTTCCGCTCTGATTTTATTGTAAAAGTCCTGACCGGAAGTTCAGTTCTTATATCTTGACGCTGTTTGGGGATGCCTGTTTGCTCAACCCTATTCCTACAATGCTGTCTTCTGTTTACAAACTGTGTCTCAGCCATCAGCCATCATCAATCAGACTTTTTGCTTAGTTCATCCGGAGTATTCGTATGAACAGTACTGTTATTTATTTATGAGGTGCTATATGTAAGTGCTTCAATTTGAAAGTTCAGTCACTACTAACCAGCTAGCCCCCAGCTAACTTACGGGCATGTCTTACAGGCAGACTGTAACTCCACCATCTTGTACTGCAGCTTGTGACAGTGGCTCTTATTCTGCTCAGGTGGAGGACTGCTATGTGCCTCTATGCCAAACTTGCAAGGCTGCAGAGCAGAACAAGGACTAACATTGTCAGCTGCAGTTAGCGGGCTAGCTGCTAGTTTTCAACAGTTGACAGTGGGCTGGTTAGCTTTGATTGAACTTTTGAAATATCTAAATATATTACCTTTTAATGACGCAATCTGTACAATTCATCTGTCCACGATATAAGATCGCCAGATCGCCCACCCCTAGTGTTCCTGTTTGCACTGATCAGGAGTACCACTGTCTACTACCACCAATTTTGTTTAATAGTTTGTAAATTGACAATAAAAGCTTTCTATTCTATTCAAACTATGATGAATAAGGCAGGTGTTTTCTAGCTGAAATTACTATTGCAGCATTACTTGAAAAGCTTCCAAATATAAGCCAATACACTTATGTCCATGTATTGGCCTACATCAAAATGTGAGGCTGTCCCCCATGAAATGGAGTAAGTGTGTGTGTGTGTGTGTGTGTGTGTGTGAGTGTATTGTCATGATTGCCTAGTTAATGGGCATTCAGAAAGCCGCCTCGGATCATGGGGCTGCCAATAACTCGCTGCATCCGTACTCTCAGGGAGCTGCTTTCTATACTGACTTAACTTCTTCTTCAAGTCTCAATCAGCAGCATTACCTTGGCCATATTCACAAAGACATCTTAAGGCTAAAAAGGTTAAGCTCTAACTTGCCGATTTTTAAGGAGAAAACTCCTAAAAATATAGGGCAATCCGTCAGTCCTAACCTTTAGGAATGTCCTAATTTTTCTGACAGACGACTAACTTTCCACAAGCTTACTAATAGCACTAAAGCTCGTAAGTCTGCGGGAAGAAGTTAGTGAGTTAATGTCAAACTTCTCAACACTTTAACCCACAACAGAAGAAGCGGAACCTCCAAGAGTGTCTCAATCACCAAAGACCATGAGCTGGTCTGCTGTCATACAGCGTTGTTTTTATGTTTCTGGAAACCTTAAGCGAGGGTTAGTTTAACTGAACGATTACGACTCATTCACGAGGGAATAATGATCATTGTGGAGTTTGTGAAGGATGCTCCTACCAACCGAAAACCCGATTAGAGCAGAAAATGAAGTGTTTTGGCAACATTGTGCTTTACTTGGCAACAGAGAAAATGTAACTTTACAATGCTCACAACTTTAAGATCTCTCAGCCGTCTGTAAGCTTATCTACTCACCAAACAAAAAATGTCTCTGTAGACCACATCACAGGACAATTCATACCCAATTTCCTTTAGATGTTCAACAACTACAGAGAAATAAAGCAGCTTCATGGTCGGTCTATACCACTGTGATCGGTTGCCACAGATGGAAACAATGTAAAAATCATCGCACCCTCACAGGACGAGGAGTTATTTTGTAAACAGGAAAACAAAGTCAAACCATCAACATACAGGCTGTATTGGATGCTTCCTGTACAGTTGTAGACACTGTTATACAGGATCTACACATGAGTCATGGATCTTAATTGGAGAGTGACCTGATCAGGCTGTTTGAAAGGATCATATTCCAGCTGGATGTCACCTGGTGGGGGACAGTGGAAAATTTCACACCTCAACGCCACCGCTGGGACCACAGTTACAACAGGGCTGTGGGCTAATAGGCTGCCGGTTAGCTTAGTTAGGCAGTTAGGTGTACACAAGTTAGTTTTTTTGTTTTTTTTCCTCCACTTGAGCAGCATTGAACGTCAAAGTTTTTATAGTAAAATTTAATTCTCCTGGGTTGACACAAACCTCCTGATACCGATACACTTTGGAAAATGCCCAAAATTTTTAAACAGCACCTTATCTGTTATTACACTGCTCTAGGGCTGTCCCAAACGATTATTCTTTAAACGACTAATCTAACGATTATTTTTTTTATTAACCTAACAGTAATTTCATTGCAATTATTTTCCAGTTAGTCATTTAATATAACAATTTGCCCCGTCCAACACACACACACACACACAAATGAAGATGCACTTTGCAGAGTCTGCAGACTACCGCACTGTTGGTGTCAAGATTAAAGTATTCCCAAACTTTGGAGGACCGTGTGCGAGCCTTTTTTGCCGCGTGTTGCTCCACACGCTCCGTCTTACTGCTGGTAGGCGCCGCCATGTTGTTCAAATAGTTTACACAGACGCAAATCATTCACGTAGTCAATGACTTCAATTACGTCATCGCGTTGTCCCAGCCCTTGTGCTGCGCTTGTATCCAGGTAAACCAAAGACGATGGATATAAACGGTCCCATTACAAAGTTCCGGTTTTGTTCTCTGAACATTTACCCTGTGTGGTTTTACACGACGCGTCGACACTAAAATTCCACGTCGAATAATTTTTATAATCAACAACGTCGATTACGTCGGAAAATCGTCCCAGCCCTACACTGCTCTAAAAAATTAAGGGAACACTTAATCATCAAACCATTAAACTTCTGGGATCAGTCTGATAATTTAGGAAGCACAAGTGATTGTGAATCAGTTTCAGCTGCTTTGGGGCAAATGAAAGTGACAACAGGTGCAATGGAGAGGCAAGAGCAAGACAACCCCCAAAAAGGGAATGGTTTTACATGTGGTGGCCACAGACAGTTGCTCTCTCCTGATCCTTCCTGACTGATTCTTCTCTAGTTCTATGTTTTGCTAGTGTCCTTGTCACTACTGGTAGCATGAGGCCGTACCTGCAGCCTAATCAGGTTGCACAGGTAGTCCAGCTCCTCCAGGATGGCACATCCATACGTGCGGCTGCAAGTAGGTTTGCCGTGTCTCCCAGCACAGTCTCAAGAGCATGGAGGAGATATCAGCAAACCGGCTGTTACACAAGGAGAGCTGGACAGGGACGTAGAAGGGCATCAACCCAGAAGCAGGACCGGTACCTGCTCCTTTGTGCAAGGATGTCATGGTTTGCTATGGCAGACACCTTTTGTTAGTTTTGTTTGGACTTTTCGCACTATTTTATTTTGTAATTGGTTTCCTTGTGTGTCAGTGTTTTTACTTCCTGTCTTGGTCCTGTTTCTGTGTGGTGATTGTCTGCCCCGCCCTAATGTGTTTCACCTGTGTGCAAACACCCTTGCCTCCCTTGTCTATATAGTCTTTGTGCTTCCCTTTGTCTGGGTCGGTTTGTCTGTTGTCTCTTTGTTGTCTCAGGGTTTACCCTTAGCCTGTTCATGCCCGTTGATTTCTGGATTTTCCTCGATCTGTTCATCCATGGTTTCCCCTCAAGCTGTTCAAGTCTGGTTTGTCTTCGTTCTGTTCATGTTACCTGTTGTCATCCCCTGTGGTTCCCTGTGCTTGTGTTAGTTTAATAAACCTGTCTGCACCGTCTCCCATGTGTTGGCTGCATTTGGGTCCAGCTTTACCCCTCAAACCCTGACAAACCCTGACAGTTGTGACAGTAAAAAGGTGTCTGCCATAGCAAACCATGACAGAGGAGGCGCAGAAGGAGCACTGCCAGAGCCCCACAACATGACCTCCAGCAGGCTACTGGTGTACATGTTTCTGACCAAACTGTCGTCATTTTGTTCTCAACAAATTATACATTGTACATCAGTAAAAATTTTCAACTTGAATAATTCATTCATCAAGATCTGATGTTGTTAGCAACCGGCCTTTTTAAAGCTTCAAGAAATCAGGACTGGGGTATTAACTGATACATTTTACGTTTTTGGAATAAAACGTGAAAGTGTCTTGAGCTTGTGTTTTAATCACAGACCTTATTTCAGCCCTCTAACCAAAAACACATTCAACAAACCAGAGACTTAAGGATCAGGGAACAGGAAGTGTTAAAATACAACTAATATCCAGTTTTAGGACTCATTCCTGCAGAAATCTATTAAGCCTCATTAAAAACAATTAAATGTAGGTGGTATTAGTTACCACAAATGCAGAGCCTGAGCTTTGTTACTAACTGATGTACCCTTTTTCATTCCAGCACCAGTCACTTTGTACAGAATACTACTTAAAAACTAGTTAATTACTCATCCTGTGGATGACGAATTTTAAGTCTGTAACCATTTGCACCATATTATTACAGTTTTGTGATGTTATTGCTCCAAGCTCCAGCAAATCCTAGTATTTTAATATTTTTTAACCCATTGTTGTTTCATTTAGTACTTCTGTATGTCTACACTGGGGTGTGGGGAAAATGGCATTTCGATCCTGTGTATGTCATATTTACATATGGCAGAATTGACAAAGTTGACTTTGAAAAGGCAAACTACTTCTTGTATAGACACTGGATGAAAATAGTTTGATGCAGAATCATCCACTAGGAATTAATTCAGGAATGCATGCAGTGGTAGTGAGCATCTTGAGACACTGCTCATTTCATGAAATTTCCTGAGACCAAGCTAAAACCAGATACTGAGAAGGTTTTTGTGTCTAGTGTTGCGTACCTCTACTGGAGTGTAGTGCTCATACTGCAGATACCAAGGCCGTGGTCTTGGGGGCTGTCTGACCAGGTAATGGTCTGGTGGATAAGGATGAAACGTTTGTCTCCCCTTCATGTCTCTGGAGTCTGCTGGCGCCACCTTCATAGTCTCCATACATTTCCCCAGCGCCATGTCTTCTATGGTGGAGAAGTGTGTACATTCCCCGGTGTCAAAGCCTTTCACAAATCTCCTCAGTGCTTCCTTACTGAGGACGTAACCTGCTCCTCCACTCATGTAGCCTTGACTGATGAAAGGGGTAAATCTTCTGCCCAGGTACAAAGGCTTCTCTGAGTTATATTTGGACAAGGTGTAGCGGAGATTCTCCACGACCACAAATGTGTCATCATCTGCTTTCAGGAACCAGTCTGCTTCGTCCAGGTGGTGTTGGTGTATGTACTGGAAAGCACGAATGGTCTTCCAGTACAGGTTGTCCCTCCCCTCGCTCACGTTCAGCTCCACAGTGGGGAAGTCAGTTTTGACGGAGCTCATGTACAGCACTTTGTTGCAGCGCTTGGCCCACGTTTCTCTGATGTGCTTGGTTCTGGATTCCAGGTTCTTGGGTCCCGTCATGATCCAACATAAGACCCGTGTTGTTTGGGAAACATTAGCTGCTGAGCTGTTTTTCTCATCTGGAAGTATAACAAGCACAAAACATCAAAAAAGTGTTGCATGGAACTAATGTAACAAAACAAGTAATCTCTGGTTACATATTCAGTTCCACCACTATATCATGGTGAAATATTTTGATGATAACAATACTTTCAATAATTTCAGCATGGCGCTCCCGTCTTCATTAGCAGTTTGATTTGCTATAAAATAACCAGTCAAAACTAGAATCACCTCCTCCACCAACCAGTCAAGTTAAAGTGTCTCCTTCCTGAGTTACAGTGTTGACTAATGGCCAGAGGTGTTTTTACAGATTATAATGTCACAGTGAAGTTGACCTTTGACATTTTGGATATAAAATGTCATCACTTCATTTTATCCTTAGAGACATTTAAATTGTGTCATAATTAGTGTATGAATTCATGACTTATGGCAAAAAACGTGTTTTGTGAGATCACAGTGACCTTTGACCTCCAAAATCTAAATCAGTTCATCCTTGAGTCCAGGTGGACATTTGTGCCAAATTTGAAGAAATTCTCTCAAGGCGTTACAGGGATATTGCATTCACAAGAATTGGCACGGACGGGTGGAAAACCTAAAATACTGCCTCTGGCTCTGACTGTCATCGGTGCTGAGCAGACACAGACAAGTAAACCTGGATATGACTTGTTATGCTAATATTAACTTTTGGCTACTTTATGAATGCTGAGTGGTAACATTCAGTGAAAGATAACATGCATTTCAAGTGACAAACAAGAAACTCCCTGCATCGAGAACACACACATTACATTGTTTCTCAGGGGTCAGTTTGTAGTATTTGTGAGTACTAATACAGAGATGTGCAGACAGGCGGGCGGGTGGTGTGAGTGAATTCCAAGAGCCAAATATATAGTAATGTGCTACAGCCACTATTGTGTTCTAACATCCCGCCTTTTACCCATTAATAACCATGCCATGGGTTTTTGGTAATTTTTCCAACTTTTTTTGTTCCACTGTGGAATTTCTGAGAGCACATCCTTCAGAGGCTGCATTTGGAGACCATTCACAGTCACAGTGTGGTGACTAGACTGTCCCATGTGAAGACTCCTTCAAATGCGGCCGAAAAATGTGGCCTCCTTTTCCTGGGTGGATCCTTCATGGCCCAACCTTTCCCAAGATTCATTGAGTGCCGACAATAGGTGCATTTGAGTTTGACTTCGGCTGACTTCAGGGGCGGAGTATCAAACGACTGCAGTCAAGTTGTACAACTACGTCTATGTCTACTTCCTGTAGCACAAGTTCACCTGTGTCACAGCAGCAGGTTGTTCACACAGCTCAAATTGAAGAGCTGTTCTGTTTCTTAATTTAAAAATGATGAGTTACCCTCAATATGTGACTATGTGGCAAACATGGCTGTTTTGCAAAATCTATTCACAATGCTTACCTCCCAAACACATGTTGTTCTTAAACATGTTCAGACCAGACACAAGTTTACATCAGACTGTTGACACAAGAAATTATATCTCAGTAAAGTTTTGTGAAAACTTTCTTCTATTTTGAAAATGTGATAGACTATACACTGTGTTGGGACAGGAGAAAAAACAATTACAGCCAACTCCTCCACTGTCAGTCATGTTTGAACCTGTCAGCGTCCTAACGATGGCAACATTGGATGAAGATGAGGCTGATGATTCTTCAGAGACCATGGTCTGAAGTCCATGTTTGAAGCTTTAAAGAAAGATACTGGCCTTTTGTTTTCGTTTTGTGGAAAACCTGCCCTCAGTGTCTCAAATATTTCCACGGTGCCTGTGGATGTCCTCAAGGAAAACATACAGGAAGCAGTGCAAAGAAAGTTTCCTGGAGAGACGTGTATTCAGGTAGCCAATACAGTGACCTGCCATGGCATCAGTTACTCGGTGGGAATGATCTTGCCCCATGGATGCACTGGAGGGCTTCCAGATTTCATTGAACTAAATCTAATCCTGATTTTGCATGACCAGACTGTATTTGCTGTCAAGTGTCTACATTCATGGTACAGTTAGCACCTTAGGGCTTTTGAATTGGAATCCACAAGACAAGTGACAGTCCTCGAGCAACAGGAATTAACAGACTCTTACCCTCTTGCAGCATACACTGTTGCAGGAAAGCGATTTGTCACCTTGAAGCGTCACATCCACATCCAAGATGATTAGGTAGTTAAAATACTGAATATATCTACATGTTTTCAATTGTTCCCGATTTGTATATTCATTGTCATTATTTAGTGTTTGGCTGGACCACAACAGTGATGTCAGCTGTAGAAATGCAAATGTCCATGACCAATTGAAGTTATACCATTGGTTCGCCGGTTGAGTGTCAGTGTCCCCATTGGCCATTGCTCTTTGAAAATGAATTGGTGCAAACAGTTTCTATTATGCCATCCCCCCCTACTAGCATCTTGAAAAAGTGATCCATATCTTATTCCTATTTTTTAAAGTGATAGTTGGTTGTTATCCTTATAGTCGTATTTTATAGTCGTTGTGAGTATAACATACCATTGAAGTAGTTCTTGAGTGGTGGAGCAATTTGCATCGAAATGAATTATGGTTGAATACATAGCTGTACTTACATTTACTTACACTGAAATATCACTTCTGGTTAATGTGACAATGCCTCCTGTTCCGTGTGCTGGTTACTGCACTTTAACATTACATTTTTTACATATCTCTTTTGTAATAGGATGTAATTTGATTCTTTAACATGCCTAAATTCAAAATAACAAAAGGTCTTTTTTTTCCTACTACAGAATCATCAACATGTCTGCTAAACTTCATGTCATACTGCAGGAAGAAATCCGCAAGCTTTCCTTGCCCTCAGGAATCCCTCAGACTGTGGAGGAATTGAAGCCTATTGTACAAGAGACATTTGCAATTGAACAAGAATTGAGTATCCAGTTCCAGGGCCAAGATTTTAATGGTCAGTTTTTTACTCTCCTTGAAACTAACAAAATAAAGGACAAAGACACTGCCAAGGTGGTTCTTGCTGAGCCAGTGATCACATTGACACTTGAGGATTCATTGAATGCTAAACAGTTCCAAGAGAGCTTTGATAGTAGTTGTGTTGAGGAAGATGTTGGTTCCAGTTCCACTGTGTCTAGTGATACCATAATTCTGTCTTCTCCAGAGAGCGCTTCCTCCCTTCGTTTTGTGCCTTGGCCAGCTCAGTTTGAGATACCTACCTTCTCCTTTGACACAGAGCTTGTTCTACAAGCTGCAAATGAAGCTTACAAAAAAAAGGACGGAACCCTACTCACAAATCCTGCAGTAAAATCTGACATCCTGAACAAATTAGCAGAGTGCATCTTTGTCTACACTGCCTATCCTTCACAAGCCCGAAGGGAGCAGGTCGCTGAGGCCCTGGTTACGAAGCATCCGTGTTTGAGGGACCCAGTGTCCGTCAATGGTTTATATAGTTGGCACAACAGCCTGAAGCACAGGTTGGGCAATTACAGAGCAAAGGTGAGACACCTTGGACTACCGGAGCTAAACATTAACTATCTGAAGAGGAAATCAGCTGCAGATAGAACTCCAGCAAAAGGCTTGAAAAAGGCAAAGAAATCTGAGGTTAACTACCTCCCACCTCATCCTCAAGGTGAAACTGATGCAACTCTTGAACAGGAGAGAGTGGAGCTTCTGTATGAGTACAAGAAGAGAAGCTCATCAATGAGAAAATGGCCAAAACCTTCTCACTGCGTCGAAATGATGTAATCCTCAAGAAACCACCTGTGATTGACCTCAAAGCTCGATGGCCTGCCCTGTTTGAGCTTTCCCAAGTGTGTTTATCTTGTGTTGTGAGAATAAAGTAAAAAATACACTTACCTGATCACCTGTTTGAGAAAATGAGCAGTTTTCTTACCTGATGGAGCTGTGAGTGGGAAAATGTTATGTCTACCTGATTACCTGTGTAATAGCAAGGGCTCCATTGTTAGATAGTGCACTCACGATTCAGTTCAAGCTGAATACTCGGTGTATTTTTCTCTTGCCCTGTCTCTTTCTAATTGTTTTCTTTCTGTATCTTGTGATGTTTCTTCATCTCACTCTTGGTCTTTCTCACAGATTTAGGAGGAATTCCGTAGGATCACACTGAAGCCATTACAGTCCACATTCCTGGGGAAGTTGGACCAATATACGCCCAAACTTTTGTGCCTGTACAGGACGAAGGGGGGAGCCACTGGGAAGAAACTTGATGAGACCCTTGACATGTTAAATGAGGTATGTACTTACAACAGTGTAGAGGTTAGTTTTATGTATCAAAATTGCACTGTACTCTCTGTACTTAACATAATGACCTATTTTATACTTTTGTAGGACTACAGCATTGAGTTCCGAAGAGATGTTGTAATCAGAGGCCTCATTCTCTACCTTGGTGAGAAGACGGAGGATTTAATCAAAGACTACCAGGTAAAGAAAATATACCTTTGCCCTGTCTGTGTATATTGTGTATATATATACTGTGTATACAATATTGTGCAAGCTAGGCTGATTGCTGAATGGTATCATGTATAGACATTTCTACTCAAGTATTATCAAATTATCAAAAAGGCATACACGTTAGCAGATCAGCAATTATAATTTTGGGAAAATTAATATATAAAATATAGTAGCATGTACTATATAACAGCTGCAAATTAGCACAATTTTTAAATGTATGTATTCACAAATAAGGATTGGTTATATACATTTTAGATTCTGCCTATATTCACTAATGTGTGGGCAAAATACATATTACTGATAAACCCAACTCCCTTGATGTGTATCTGTCATACTTAAACCTCTAAAGAGAAATTAAATAAAGTTTTGCCATTAAAGTTGCACCTTGTTTTCTCATCTAAACTGTCATAATAGAAGTTTATAGAGTTATCAAGTTTTTAACATACTATTGCCTGTTCACTGTCCCAAATATACAATACTTACCTCTTAACCAATGCTGCAATACTAAAGAAATACCACAAAATATCAATCTCATCTTCTGTATCGAGGTAGAGCAAAGTTAGCTATATGCATCC